CTCAATACATATTCTCCTCTCCTATTTTTTCTCCCCTCAATTCCCTCTCAGTGCCTTTGTTTGAAAAAGAAATTTAATTCAAAATGTTGAAAAGTAAATATATTTTGTTTGTCAATTTTTAACCCAAAAGCCTGGACATCCAAACCAAAACTTTTTGATAGAACAGTCAAAGACTTTAGGACATGATTCGACATTTATATAGTTCTGGGAGAAACTCAAAGAAAATTTCTTAAAATTCCACTCAAAATACGAGTGTCCCTCACACACCCATAAAACCTTTTTACTCCTTCCCCTACCCCCCTTCAGTTCTTAAAAAAACCTTAAGTTCCAAAGAAAAAAAGAAACTTACTCAACTTCCAACTTATTAATCGGTCCACTGGAATATATAGTAGCCCAAAACAGACCAGTAGTAAGAGCTGGACACCAAAGTTTTTTCCACCACATTTTCTTTTATTAAATTTAGAAAAACTAATTAAAATGAAAAAAATTAATTTTAAAAATAATTATTTAATTTCTTCAAATAAATTCAAAAAAAATTAAAAAAAACAAAAAAATTTTATTTTTCCCTTTCATTTATATAAAATTAAACCAATAAATTTTTTTGCTGTTTCTAAATTAAGTTCTTCAACATTTAACAAATTTTGATGCATAGGCTTAGTTTTGTATAGAGGACAAGCTTTAAAAGTAATAAAAATTAAAGATCAAGGATAAAAAAAATTAGAGGGAAAAGAATGTTTCTCTTATACCAGGCCCATAACCAGGGGGAATTCCCCCCACACTTCCCGAAATGGGGAAAAGGAAACTTCTAGGAGGACTTACTTCTAGGACTTCTATACCAAAAAATTTTTTTAAACTTATAGACCCCTCTAAAATTGGTCTATACTATAAAAATGCATTTTGACACCCAATTAGAGACCAAGATTTTTGAAGCCTGTTCATATACTCGGGGTTTGATTAATTGATCTGGGCCGGATCCTGAGACTGTAGTTCAAGAAAAACCCCAGAAGGTCAAAATATGCCTGGGCCTGTACTCAGAGTATAGGAAAAACCCCAGGCCTTGGTTCAGACCCAGCTCGATCTCTATACCCAATTCCTAAAAAAATAATAAATTCAAACCTTTATCTATCCAAACCAAATTTTTAATTCCTTCCAAATTAGCCAAATTTAAAGTATTTAATTGGACAATAACAAAATCCATTCTTCCATCAACTAATTGAATTGCTTTTGTAATTATTGGCCTTTTTAAAATTTTATCTTCTTCTGATGAAGTTTTTTCAAATTCTAATAAATTTTTTAATCGAAGAGCTTGAGCTAATGCTGCACCAAAACAATGACAAATTGCATTTCCTGCGTTTTCTTCTCTGTGAGGAAAAAGGAAAGAAAATTTTCTAATAAATTAATAAAAACTCGAAGATGAGAAAGAAATGAAAAAGAGGTGAAAAAATATTTAGGTTAGGAATCTAATGGCTCAAGAAACAAAGATGTCATCTTTGATTACTTCTCGATCCAAGAAAGAAACTTTCGAAACCCTAATCCGAAACAAGACTTTTCAACAACCCAATCCAGATTTTACTCAAATTGTGACATCCTGCTCAAAAATCCCTAAATCTTCAAGTTTCTAAATTTGTCGAGAGTACAGGAATAAACAAAAGACCATTTTTGGTTGCTGGTATGGTTATATCGTTTCTTAGAAAATCTTACATTTAGGATACAAGGAATCGAAACGAATGACCGACTCGAAAAATCCGGTTCACATTCCAACTGACAGTCCTTTAATCGTTAAAAGTCGAAATTCTTATCAAAGAAGTATTTCCTAAAATCCCAAACGAGATGAAAAAATAGGAGTTGTCCATTATAGAAGTTATACCTTAGCCAACAAACAAAAAGACCCATAAAAAAGGAAAAATCTCATAATTTTTTTTAAATTAACCTCGTCCACGGATATTTTTGATCTTGTTCTCTAGCCCATAAAATTGTATTTAAAACATATTTTTGATCAGAAACAATTCCTGGAACAACAGCTGTATCGTTGTAAATATTAGAGCTTTGCAAATCAATAAAAGGAGAAATTGGGAAAATATTTGGAATTTCTTTTTGCCTTAAAAATTAAAAACAAAAAATTTTTGAAAATTTAAAAAAACCCAACTTTGTTTCCAAAATTTGTTTTTCTGTTGCCAATTGAGAAAGAAAATCTTCAGATTGAATAACAACATGAGGTTGTTGGCGAAAAACCATTGGAGTATTGACACATGTTAAATTAGCTGGAATAATCGAACTTATGGGATCGTCAAAAGAATATCTAAAAAATAATATTTTAAAGTAAAATGGCTAAACCCAGAAAATAGCAAAAAATGGGTGGGTGATCCTGAAGAGAAGCATGATTTTTAACCACCTAAATATTTAACCACCTAATGCAAAAATTTTTAAAAAAAAAATGAGAAAATCTTGAAAAAATATGGAAAGCAAAGTCAGATCAAAATTTTGGCGTAGCTCTACCCACAGGCTGGTAGCTTTCATTTTCAACTAGTCAATAAAAACATTTATTCATTATAGACTAGCCGGTAGCCAATTCCTCCAGTACTACATTACTCAAAATTAGTCAGCATAAATAACACTACTCAAGTCGTAATTCAAATAAAATTTTAGAGGGATACTTAAAATCTTCAGAAATATTCTAAAAAAAGATTCCCAAAATCAGAAGCTAGTCCCTCAAGTAAATACTCAACGCAATTAAATCAAAAAATTACTATAAATTTAACAACAACCTGTATTTTTCAAAATTCAATTTTTCATTGTGCATAGCAAGCAGAAAAACTTTTCTAACCAAATTCTCCAAAATTATATTACTTTAAAAAAATTCTTTAAAAAACTCAAAAAAACCCCTTACTTTCTTTTCATTACCGGCGTTCCATAATGGTTCACTTGATACGTCCAAAAAAGTATTGGATCAAATTTTTTTGGTAATTTGTCCATAGAAGGGTCGTATCTTTCACCTGCCATAATTGAATCGATTAAATGATCTTCAAAATCTTTTGGAAGAAAATTGAGTGGAATTGAAGAGTAGACAGAAGACGGAATTGGAGAAGGCTCACAAGAATTGATTAAATTACATGCTTGATCGACCCCGTCAGTTAAACTTTCTGTTCCGTCAAATAATAAACAATTTTGAGTTTTGTAGAGTGGATGGTCCTTTGGAAAAAAAATTGAAAAATTTTTTTAAATGGTAGTTGGTTGGGTTTGTGTCCCCCCTCCCTTTTTGGAAAAATTTTTTGCCCCAAAAAATGAATTCTCAAAAACAAACTAGATATCTGTAACAGGGGTGCTGGACGAAGTTTTAAAACTGGAAGAAAACCCAAGCTAGATCTGTGACAGGGATGGGCGCTGAACTCACATCAGTTTAAAAACGGGAGAACCCCATTCCCAGTTCGAAAAAATGATTCCCAAAGTAATTTGTCCATGGAATGATGATGTTTCAGGGTTCCAGAAACTCCAACTTTTTTTGACCTAAAACCCGACCTCACCCTGGACATTCCTTATTTGTACCCCGTCCCCAAAAGGATGGGGAATTAGGAACACTTTAAATTCACCATCTCTCCCCCTAGCAGTTGTTTAACTAAAATTAAAAGACCTCAATGCTTCAGGTATGAAAAGCATTCTTCAAAAGCTTCTCATCAATTGGAGGGCAAATCCCCTAATCAAAAACCATGATTTAAGAAATCTAAAACACCCCAATCTCTAAGATCGCTAATTTAAAAATTAAATTCCCAAATCCGTCATTAATTGGAGGTGAATTCTAATAAAGACCGACTTTAGACACTTAAAACACATCAGTCTCTAAGATCCCTAATCTAAAATTAAATTCCAACATTCCCCAGATCCGTCTAGAGAATTAAATATCTAAAAATAAACCTTTAACGTTTTCTTTCTCAAATGCAAAGGAAAAGTAGCAGCATTTCCATCCTTCTTTTCAAATTGTTTAAAGAAATCTTTACTTAAAGGGTTTTGAATTTTAATTTTTGCTTGTTTAATTTCTGGATCAATTTGAAGAACATGCGCATCTTTTAAACTATTTCTTCTGTTAAAATCTCTAAACATTAAAGTATTGTATCTTCCAAATTGCTTTATTGGCCTGAATTTTTGGAAAGGCATTTTTGGCTTTTCTAAAATCTGAAAAGAAATAAAAATTTGGGCTAGTCAAGAAAGTCCCCCACGAGTTAAAAATTTTCCGTCAAGATTTTTAGTTGATTGAGAGGAGACGGAGAGAGCAAAGAAAATTAGGTGAAGGTATAAAATTCCCCAACACTCGATTCTTACAATGGGGATCACAAAGTAGAGTAGCGACAAAAAATATTAGAATGAGAAAATAGTGGTCATATTAGTGTTCGGCATGATGACTTCCCAATACCTACAGGCAAGATTTGGGATTTCCTAGTGACTGGGGCAGGACGGATTTTTCCGGATTTTTTTTCAATATCCGGATCTACGTTAAAGTTCGGCAAGATTACTTCCCGGTACTACCGGCAAGATATTGCAATTTTCGTATTGGTCCCTATCGATACCGGAGAAAGCCTCTTGTCTACTTTCAAACCAATCCCAGCTGAAATGTTCTCAAAGGACAACGATCCCAGGTCCAACCCCTCTTTCAAACCAATCTAACTAACAATAAGTCGGGAATGTTCTCAAAGGACATTGATCCGGGTTCAAAACCCCTCTTGGCGGAACACATTCCTTATTAAGTCGTTCTAATAATAAATATAAAGTCAAAATAACTTTTTTCTCACAACAAAAAATATTTTCCCAATCAAGTTTATCGTCTAAATAATTTATAAAAAAACAATCAAGTCACAAAATCTTTTTTTAAAACGAAGCTGTATATAAGCATATTGTTTTTTTTTTCTGGCATAAATAAAGTTAAGCGAGGAATTATTTCGAAAATATGCGGTTAAAAGCAAAATAATATAAAAAAATACGTGGTAAGTCAAGTTAAACCTTCTCTTCTTTTATTCTTGTTCAACAGCTGCTTGATTGGTATCTTCACCTTCAAATTCTCCTTCGTCTTCAACAGTCGCATCTTGATATTGCTGGTACTCAGAAATCAAGTCGTTCATGTTGGACTCGGCTTCAGTGAATTCCATCTCGTCCATACCTTCGCCAGTGTACCAGTGAAGGAAGGCTTTGCGACGGAACATGGCTAAACGAGAAAATTGGTTTTTAAAAAAGAAAAAAATCGTTTACCCGTGAATTGCTCAGAGATGCGTTTGAACAGTTCCTGAATGGCCGTGGAGTTGCCAATGAAGGTCGCAGACATTTTCAGACCACGTGGAGGAATGTCACAAACGGCAGTCTTAACGTTGTTCGGAATCCATTCAACAAAGTATGACGAATTCTTGTTTTGAACTGACATCATTTGATCGTCCACTTCACGCATTGACATGCGTCCACGGAAGATGGCAGCAACAGTCAAATAACGTCCATGGCGAGGATCACAAGCAGCCATCATATTCTTGGCATCGAACATTTGTTTGGTAAGTTCAGCAACATTTTGGGCCTGGTAGGCAGCTGCGCCCTTAGCCGAAAGTGGAGCGAAACCAGGCATGAAGAAGTGGAGACGTGGGAATGGAACCATGTTGACTGCCAACTTGCGAAGATCGGCGTTCAATTGGCCTGGGAAGCGAAGACAAGTAGTCACTCCAGACATGGTTACGGAGACTAAAATGAAAAATTGCTTTGAAAACGTAAACAAAAATATACCGAGATGATTCAAATCTCCATAAGTTGGATTTTGGAGTTTCAGAGTGCGGAAGCAGATATCATACAGAGCCTCGTTGTCGATGCAGTAAGTCTCATCGGTGTTCTCAACAAGTTGATGAACAGAAAGAGTTGCGTTGTAGGGCTCCACAACAGTGTCAGAGACCTGAAAAATTGAAAAATAAAGCTGTTTAGAAAATTGAAAAAGGAACCTTAGGTGACGGAACAACAGAGAAGGAAGACATGATTCGGTCCGGATACTCCTCACGAATCTTTGAAATGAGCAAAGTTCCCATTCCAGAGCCAGTTCCTCCACCAAGCGAGTGAGTCAATTGAAAGCCTTGAAGACAATCACAACCTTCAGCCTCTTTTCGAACAACATCCAAAACATTGTCGACCAACTCCGCGCCCTCAGTGTAATGTCCTTTGGCCCAATTGTTTCCTGCACCGCTCTGGCCAAAGACAAAGTTGTCTGGACGGAAGAGTTCTCCATATGGTCCAGCTCTTATCGAGTCCATCGTTCCCGGTTCCAAATCAACAAGTACAGCTCTCGGGACATACTTTCCACCTTGGAAAAAGCAATTCTGTTAGTTAACCTTTTAATTGGGAGAACCCCAATAAGGCCAAGAGACCCCAAAAAAGACTTTCAGATGGGAAAAGGTCCTCAACAGACCAAGAGACCCCAAAAAATTCAGATGGGAAAAGGTCCTCAACAGACCCAGAGACTCCAAAAAAGACTTTCAGATGGGAAAAGGTCCTCAACAGACCCAAAGACGACCTAGACCCCAGAAAAGAATAGTGTGAAGTCGACACGAAAACCAAGTGAACCTATCACGCTTCAATGAACACCTTAAGCGAGGACTTAGCCTCGCCTTCAATACTACTAACAATCCCCCCACAATTCACAGATAAACCAAAAATATACCATGAGCCTCATTGTAGTAAACATTGATTCGCTCCAATTGCAAGTCAGATTCTCCCTTGTATGATCCATCAGGTTGAATTCCGTGTTCATCCGAAATGACTTCCCAGAACTTAAAATTCAACAATGCCAATCAAATGTTAAAAAACAACCTTGGAACCAATTTGGTTGCCACATTGTCCAGCCTGGATATGGACGATTTCACGCATTTTTTGAGATCTTTTGTTAGATAAATTAAATAGTAAAACTGAAAAAAGAAAAGAAATTTTTTTATTAAAACTTGAAAATTAGAGTTCGACATTTTCGACTTGCAGGGCCCGGTATCCGGGTTTCGTTATTCAAACTTACTCGGGTCAAGTTTCCGGGCTAGAATCCCGAACCCCAGGATTAGAGAACGAGCTGGACCTGGACCAAGGCCTTGGTTTTTCCTGTATCCAGAGTCCAGGTCCAGGCATTCTTTGACCTTCCTGGGTTTTTCCTGGACTACAGGCCTAGGATCCAGTCCAGGTCAAGAAATCAAACCCAGAGTCCGGGAACAGATCCGGGCTTTTCAAAAATCTCGAGCTCTAACCAGGATTTTATCATAACACCCGGTTCCGAGCTACCGTCCCCGGAAAACCCTGTCCCTTTTCCAATGTCGAACCCTATTAAAAATTTTCAAAATTAAAAAACAGCCAAAAAAGCCCAAAAAAAGAAATTATTTTTTCACTACATTTTCACCCAAAAACATTAATTTTGACGAAACCCTTACTAAAAATAAAAGAAAAACGCATGCACAGTATTTAGCAAAAATAATGGGGATGCATTGAGTGGACACGCCAACAAGGCTAAAATCAATAATAGCAATTATTAGCCTACCCAGAAGATCAACAAAAATGAGAAAAAGAGGGATGAGAGAATTGGGTCTTCCGGAAAAGGAAAAATTTTTAAAGTAGATTTTCTGGGTGGTAAAAAATAATTTGGCATTGAGGGTCGAAAGGGAGAGGAAAGTCTAATCCTGTCTATATATATTTACTTTAATCTGGGTACAGCCCAAGTAGGCGCGCGGCCAAGCAGACGCAAAGTCATAACTTGCTTCAAGATTTCCGAATTTTTCAAGATTTAGTATTAAACGATTCCTCTCATCGAGCTAAAGAGATTGGTACCAAAATTGATAAGTGTCAGAAATTTTTCAGGATATTATGGCTTTGCGCCTATTTGGGCGTGCGCCTATTTGGGCGTGTCCCCTTTAATCTACCCAAAAGATCAACAGATGATTAATGGAAGAAGGAAGGAGAGAAGGAAGAGAGAGAAAGGGTGGAAATCTTTTCTTTTAAATTTATTTTGATCTTCCATAACCCAATTAAACAAAGAAAAGATCATTCCGGATAAGAGCAAGTCATTCTTTTATCTTTCCAAATCAGCGCGTTGGATGTTATTTGGTGAATTTCTCTAATACATACATATGTATGTAACGTATTTATTTTCTAAAAGCAATTCCATTATTAATTATTTTCCGTTTATTTCGTTTTCTAGAAATCAACTTTTCCAGAGAATATTTCCGGAAAACAATTTAAAGAAATATGTATTTTTAAAAAATCCGGAAAACATTTTAACTTTTCCGGAAACAACTTAAAACAATAATTTTTGCAGAGAAACAAAACTATCTCTTCCGGAAAGAGAGTGAGAGATATTTTCTCTTTCGGGAAAACAATTCTCAGATATTTAACTATGTATAAATTCCGGAAAATAATTCTACATGTGTTTTCGGAAAACACATGTAAAATACTTACTGCGAAACACAGGACTATTTTCCGGAAAAAGAATACATACAAAATACTTTCTCCTAACCTTTCCGGAAAACACATGAAATATTTAATGTGAAGAACGAAAACACAACACTGTTTTTTCCGGAAAAGGAAAACATACGAAATATTTTCTCTAACCTTTCCGGAAAACACATTAGACATTTAATATGAAGATACGAAAGCACAACACCGTTCTTTCCGGAAAAGGCATACATACAAAATATTTTCTCAACATTTCCGGAAAACACATAAATTATTTAATGTGAAGATTCGAAAACACTTTTTTTCCGGAAAAGGAATAAATACAAAATATTTTCTCTAACCTTTCCGGAAAACACATGAAATATGTATTTCATGTGGAAAACACAGCGCCGTTTCTTCCGGAAAATACATTCTCTAACCTTTCCGGAAAACACATGAAATATTTAATGTGAAGATCCTAAAACACAACACAGTTCTTTCCGGAAAAGGAATACATACGAAATATTTTCTCTAACCTTTCCGGAAAACAATTTAGAACAATTAACTTCTAGGGAAACATTTCCGGAAACTAATTCTTCAACTTTTCCGGAAGTCTTTTCTCTCCCCCAATGGAAAAAGGAGACAATAACAGCCATTATTATGAAGGTTCTCTACTAGCACAAAAAACAAACTGCAAATCCTTTAACAGCGAAATAAATTCAGAAAATAGTTCCTCAATTTATTACAATAGAAACAATTCAAGAATGATTTCTGCTTATGCTATGGAAGAACAAAAACAGCAACTTTTTGGAATTTGTGAATTAATACAGACAAATATTAAATCTTTACTTGAACAAATTGAGAAGATTATAAGGGGGATAGCTAAAAGAGAAAGTGATATAAGTTATGAAGAGATGAGATCGAGATTGTTGGATATACTTGAAGAATATAGAGTTTAGTATATTCGTTTTAACTCGAACCTCGTTTTTAGATACCTCCTCTTAGAGGGATAGATTGTGTCTTATAATGAGGGGTACGTTAAATAGAGGGGTATTGCTTAGACAGCTCCCTTAGCAGAAATCGTCCTTATAATGAGGGTATGTTAAATAGAGGGGTATTGCTTAGACAGTCCCTTTTACTGAGGATATGTTAAATAGAGGGGGATTGCTTAGACAGTTCCTTTTATTGAGGGTATGTTAAATAGAGGTATCTAGTATCGAGAGTATATTAAATTGAGGTGTACCTAATATTGAGAGTATGTTAAAACGAGGTTCTACTGTATAGTGTAAAAGCTAGACCTCTATTTTGTAGACTAAATGAACTTTTCCCTTTTCCCTAAGAAATACTTGAGAGGACTCCATAAACCACAAGAGGGATTCACTAAATAGAGGGTCTAAAATTTATTTTTTTTAAAGCTAGGGGCATGGCCAGTATTGGTGGATGTTGACTCACAAGTTAAATTGCTCTCCAAAACGGTTAGGCAAACAATAGATTCATGCAATATAAGCGAACCTCGCCTAGCTTGGCTTCTTGCCATTAATAAATTTCAGGTAATGAGCGTTGAAGAGAGGAATAGTTTTTCTTTGAAAAGGAAATGTAAGGAAAGAGAGGAAACTTTTACCAATTTTCAAAATTTGGGTAGGTTGATCAGTTCAAAGGAAAATTCTCAAATATTCAAAAACCAAAGAACAAAAGGTTCTTCGGAAAGAATACTTTGAAAGGCTTCATAAATTAAAGAAAAAGAATCCTCGGTTCCTCTGTCAATCCTTGGCTCTTTTATCCCAGGTTCTTCTGTTCTGTTCGATACATAACTGCCAACCCAAGTTCAAGCCTAAAACCCTTCAAAATGAAAATTCCTTATTTTTCTTCAGGTTAATATGGAAAAAATGGTTGACAGATTAGTAAATGAAGTAACTGCAGATATTGAAAGAGTTATAAAATTAAATGTAAGATGTGATATTAATGGGCTTGAATTGAAAAAAGAGACGATTGAAATAATAAAAGAAATGAAAGAAGAAATTAACAAATCACAACAAAAAAGAGAATAAAAATTTAAAAATTAAAAAAGTATAGAACCTTTAGTTTAAACTTTCTTCTATAATCATACAAAAATTTTATTCACATAAAAATTTATTTTTTAAAGTTAATTTTCTACCAATTCAAAATCAATATCTTCAATTTCATCAATATTTGAAACTTGTAGTAGATCATTTTCTAAAAAAAAATTTTTTTTAAGCTTTTATGAGGGAAGGGATCCCTTTTGGTCTTGAAAATCCTTTTCTCAAAAAGCTTTTTAGTAGGGAGCCAGACCGCCTTCTAACTACAATCCATCTTATCGGTCGAAGCTGATCGACTAGTAAAATTCATCTCATCTTGAGAACTTGACTTCCTACAAAATTCACTATTGCTTCAGATGATGCATTTTACTAGTCGATCAGCTTCGACAGAGAAGATGGATTCTAGTTAGAAGGATAGAACATAATGGAATGAGCCTAGACCACCCAGCCCTATTACTACAAAAATTTTTAAGCTTTTATGAGGGAGAGGGATGATTGAGGGAGAGGGACATGGATCGACCAGTAAAATCCCTCCTCTTCTCCCTCTTCTCTTTCTTGTTTATCTTCTTTATTCGGAAAAACTAAGCCACTATCAAGAACAACCCCCATTATAATTTAGAATCATCACCTTCCAAAATCACTCCATTTTTTAAATTAGAAGAATATGATGGGGAAGATATAATTAAATGAGTTTCTTCTTTCTCATGGTTTTCTTCTTCATTCACATTTTTATCCTCCTCCTCTTCTCCCTCTTCCCTTCCAATTTCATTAATTATAAGCGATGTTGAAGGTGAAGGGGGTAATATACAAACAATTCTTTGCTCAAAACTTTCGTCTTTTTCTGAATAATTTTGGGATGAATTGTCATCATCGTCTTCTTCAGAATCCTCTTCTGGGTATTTGTCAGAAAGTGAACCACAATCAACTATAAAATATAAAAATTAATTTAAATGAAGAGTAAGATTCTTTTAGGGTCATGGCTAGAAATCGGAGAAATGTAGAAATAAAATCCGAAAAAACGAATGTGAAAATTATTCGATTTTACCAAAAATGTCGGTCGAATTTCGTAAATTATTCGATTGAATATTCGATTATGGCAAAGAAACAAAAAAAAAGATGGATGATTTCCTATTATTATTTTTTTTCTGAAATGGCCTTCAAAATACACTAAAAACTACCACAAACTTATAGTAAGAGGTATGACTTGAAGTAAACTTTCCTATAAAAATCAACTCTCTAATAGAAAGAATGAAGAGGACTCATTGTCGGCAGCTCCAAGAATCCGAAATCGGCCATACTTTTCGATTTGGGGGTGAGAACCGAAAAAGCCAAAAGATTGGCAACAGGTCAAGACCATGCTTTACACAGGGGTCTAAGTTTTATTTGAAAATTTTTACTGACAATTCGAAAGATTCACCCCTTGTGAGATAATCACACCCCTTTTCAAAAATCAAAACTATAAAATTATAAAAATCAAACCAGAAACAATAAAAGTAGGCTCTATTTTGATTTTATTGGGTTGAACGTCCTTTTCCTTCCTCTTCTCTTCAACTCTCTTCTTCTTCTCTTCAACAACACCAACACAATTTTCAACCTTCTTTTTAGCTTCCACAACTTTTTCCTCTTCAAAATCGTCACTATTAGTTATTGTTTCCATCAATTCTTCTTCTTCTTGTTCCTCTTCAGAAATGCTCATTTTTGAACGAATTTCCCCCTCTTCTAAATCATCATTTTTATTCTTTTTCTTCTTTTTTCTAATTATTTTTATTGAAATTTGTTCTTCATTTTCTTCTTTATTTTCAATTATTTTATTGCTTTCAACAGTTGATTGACTTGATTGGCTTTTTGGAGTTTGTTCACTTTCACTACTTAAAGATTGATTTAATTCTTCATTGTCTTCTTGATTTGAACTTAAATCTTCGTCTTCGGATTCTGATGAACTTTCAGGTAATTCTTCTCCTAAAAAGAAGTTAACAAGGAAACATTTTGAACTATAGTCAAAGATTTTTAAATTATTTTTGCACCATCGTGTAGGCAGGGCCAAAAAAGCCTAAAACTGGCAATAGGTTATCGACCCTGCTCTACACGCTGGTATAAAAATAATTAAAAAATTCTTGACTACAGTTAAAAATGTTCGCTCTTGTAGGATCTCTATTTATTTCTTCAACTCCTTGGGGTTGAACAAATCATATCTTATTATGCCTCCAACAAGAGGCAATTCTCCACCCAGTAAGTTTGGCGGTTCTGAACACCTGAAAAGTCCGAGTATCCGAAATTTTAGGTTCGTTCTGAATACCTGATGATTTCATAAATACCCATACTTACTACCACCCAGGGACCAACCAAAATTTAAAAGAAATGTACGTTAAACTGAAAGTGTACGTGAAATCAGAATTTGACTATATTAGTTTCTTTTCAACAACACCAACACAATTTTCAACCTTCATTTTTCTTTGAAGGTTGAAAATTGTATCGTGGGGAAAAAATTTTTTTTTGGGCGACACTTTGTCCCATAAAAAACTTTTTGAAAAATAAAATAAATTTAAAAGAAAAAAACCGTTCAAATCAGCCAATATTCTTGCTTTAGACATTCCACAAAGTATATCATAAACAATTTTGTGTGCTTCAACTTCTGTTTTTTCCTAAAAAATTTTATTTAAAAATTCCTCGATTCAGAAAAAAACCTCAAGTTCAGGAAATATTTCATAAAGTGTTTCCAAATCAACACTGTCCATCAATTCTGTTGCAAGCTTTCTTCTATTATTAATAAATTTTTTTAGAGGGCGAAAATGATCTGAAAAAAAGAAATTATAAGAAGGAGTTTTTTAAGTTTATCTGATAGGCGCATGAATTTATAGAGAAATCAACAACAAGACAACTTGCAGAGATAAACTTTCAAAATTTAGACTAAAAATTAATCTCAAGGTAGCTACAAATTTTAGAATTTTTGGCTGATAGAGATTGACCTCTTTATAAAAAAAAGATATCTAATCTAAAGATACCAAATCTTAAGTGAAGTCGAATACTAAAAATAGTATTAACGGAAATCTCTGGACAGTTTCAAGTCAAAGTTACGTCTAATTTTCAGAAAAACCCCAAGTTCAGGGAATCGTTGTCAACAGCAAGACGTGGACTCTACAAGTCCACACCTAACCAGTCTTATGTTCGCCTATTTCACGTCTAACCAGTCTTTTGTTAGCCCCCCAAAAAATAGAAAAATAAAAACCTCCATCCCTATGAGCTTCATTCACCATTTCCTTCCTTCTTTTCCCTTTAGTCTTTTTCTTCTTCAACTTTTTGGCTTTTTTGGATTCTCGTAATGATTCAAATCTTCTCCTTTCCTCTCCAGACGAAATTGGTTCCCAGCGAGACTTTTTAATATTTATTTGATAAGTTGCTTTCTTCTCTGGAACAATTTTTGATCTTTTCGGAAATGCTCTAGGGGGCGAAGATAGATCGGTGGAAGAGGAAGAAATTGAATGAAGAGAAATGTCATCAGGAGATTTTGAACGAGGAATTGAATTTTGAGGTTTTGGTCGCTTTTTGGTCGTTTCAGGATTTATTATTCGTGGACCATATAAGAGTTGATTGGGGCTTACATCTTCTGTTGGTTCTTTTGTTCCATCCTTATCTCTGTAAATTCAATTAATTTGAAAGTCTAAATATTTTTAGAAAAAAACAAGGTAAAGTGGAAGCTTAAATGAGTAGAATACGATTCAAGTTATCTTTAAGTAGGTAGATACCGATATGAAGAACCGAGGATTCTTCAGTTCCATTATCTGAAGACTTTCCCAAAAACGATAACCCTAGGCAAGAGTAAAGGATCCCAAAATTAATTCTAGTCAAGAAATAGGCCTTTTACAAAATATATTAACCAGTGTCGGTGTTGAACACAAAATAAACCTTAGGCAGCGCTAACCCTAGTCTAAAACCAAGTTATCACCTATCCCTATCAATGTCCTCTTAAAATAAAAAAGAACCTGGAATCCTATTAAACTTTAAAAATAAACTAAACTCATTCATAACCATCATCTTGAAGACATAATGTTTTGCCATTATTATTATTCTAATTAGTAGCCTGTTTCTAAAAAAATATATAATCAAAAAATTTTTTTAAAAATAGATATAAAATTTAAAAAAAATAAATATAACAAAAAATAATATTTGAAAAATAAAGCTTTATTAACCCAAAAAAAGAAAAGTAAAATTATCAAATATATATCAACAACAAAATATTTAAGATGATAGCCAAAAAAGAATTTTTATAAGTTAAAGATAAACACAAAAATTTAACAATTTTTTAAAAAAAGGAAAGGTTTCAAGGGGAGAGGGTTACCCTCAAAGCTGATAGTTGAAAAATGGATTTCCATTAAAAATACAAGAATGCGCAAAAAATGAAGAACGGGATCAACAATCAAACAACGTTTGCACTAACAATGTTTTATCTCATCTTTTAAACTCATGTGCTGATCATTTTAAAGAATAGTTTCTGATATTCTGCCTGCTGGTGTCTTTCAGGTTCTTTTCAAGACAAAAAATAATTAAAAATTCAAGAAAAAAAAATTTAAAAAAATTTTTCAGCAAAAAAATCCAAAAAATCGAAGGCAAGGAAGAACAGAATTTTGAAAAATCGTGAAGAAATGGAAGAATTTTTCGAAGGCATTGCAATGACCTGCACTAATATTGAAGAAAACACTTGGGAGGCTGTTGCTGATCAGGTCCGGATTGCTTGTTAACTTTAAAAGAGAAAATTTCATTTTTTTGGAGGCTGTTGCTGATTTTTAACTTCAAAAATAGAATTTTTAAATTCAAAAAATCCCTTTCCAAAAAAATAAAATAAAATTTTCTCTTTTAAAGTTAACAAGCAATCCGGACCTGATCAGCAACAGCCTCCCAAGTGTTTTCTTCAATATTAGTGCAGGTCATTGCAATGCCTTCGAAAAATTCTTCCATTTCTTCACGATTTTTCAAAATTCTGTTCTTCCTTGCCTTCGATTTTTTGGATTTTTTTGCTGAAAAATTTTTTTAAATTTTTTTTTCTTGAATTTTTAATTATTTTTTGTCTTGAAAAGAACCTGAAAGACACCAGCAGGCAGAATATCAGAAACTATTCTTTAAAATGATCAGCACATGAGTTTAAAAGATGAGATAAAACATTGTTAGTGCAAACGTTGTTTGATTGTTGATCCCGTTCTTCATTTTTTGGGCATTCTTGTATTTTTAATAAATCTCATTCTTATAATATATATGAATGGACAACAACACCCTCTAAATAAGTTCAAAATTTTTCGGTTAGGAGGGAAATTTCTTGGATGCAAACCATAATTTTGGCATACCCTAAACCTTTCCTTTACATAATAAACAAACTTTACACTTAAAACTATTTAAGAGGTCTTTGCTTTTTGTCCCTGACCAGATTTTGTAGTTGTCGTTTGTGAAATAGCATCCTTCGGCTCTTTGTAATAGAGAAAAACAAAACTGAAGAGTATAAGCTAAAAAATAAATTTTTAAAAATAAACCCAAATTTAACAAAGAAATACCCCAATCATCATTGAAAAAGCAGAAACGTAATAAGGATAAGCACAACGACTGAATCTTTCATATTGAGTGTGTTTGAGTGGACGAACCGACACCTAAAAATTTAAAAAATAAAAATTCAATCAAGTTTGAAAAAAAAACCTGCTGAACATCATATAAATGTGTGTAGCCAATACGATGATAGTCAACCAAAAATTTAAAAACACCATAAACATCAGGCACTTTAAAAGTTGTAGAAAGGCGTCCATCTAGAATAACTTTAATTAATTAAAGTTAATTTTTAAATTAGGGTTCAACACCCATCCATTGAGAAAGAAATTCACCGAGGAACAAAAGAAAAAGTTTCCACACAAATCAGCATGATAAGTTACCCGAAACCCAAACTTTTTTCGGGATTCCAAAACACGACGCGAATTTTCACCTCTTAATCCCCTATAACTGCCCGATCGACCCGAAATCAGATACAAAAAAAATTTTTTAAATTTTTCCCTCTAGGTCAGTCACTTTAAAAGTTGTAGAAAGGCGGACATCTAGAAAACCCCGAATTTTCAACTGGATTTTTCCCTATAGGAAAAAATATTTAAAAAATTACTATTGTTCTTCAAAGTAGTTCTAACAAAAGGATCAATACGCACAAATTCAAGTTGAACATCATCCCCTTTGAAAGGAAGCCATTTGCCTGATTTTAACTCCTCAATATTGATTTCATAGTGCTTTAATATTTTTTTGATTATTTTTGTCAAATTACCCCAAAAAACTAACCACATTGTCCATAATTGTGTATTCAGTTGGAGGTGTTGTTTGTCCAACTACATGGTGTTTAACTGTCTTAATACGCAAAACTCCTTCTTCTTTGAGTACCCACATACTTAAAGCTTTTGCCAGTTCGGAATTTCCGCTTTTTCCCCTAAAATTTTTGTAGGAACTAAAAATTTTAAAAAATCAAACTTTTCAGTAGTTCCAGCCTTTTGTGCATTCGCATTGAAAAATTCATTGGAAAAGAAATCGATAGAACCACTGACCAAAACTCGAGCATTATTTCTAGCTTGCATTGCGCCAATTAAAATTGTGGACTTTCCAACGGCTCCAGGAGTCTGAAAACATAAGGAAATTTAAGCAAAAATGGTAGTCTTTAATTTTATGAAATCTCTAGTTTGTTCAAAATCCAATAACTAATGTAAGGAAACGAAGCTCAACCAAAGGCCAAGAAATAAAAACCATCTGACCCAAGGGAGGATGAGTTCAATTGAAGTTCAAGCTTATTTTCGAAAATCGTCTCTAATACAAAGTTATAAGCCTAGTGCTTAGTTTGAAGAAAACTTCCCGACCAGGGTTGTCGTTTTACCCTATTTATAGGGGATTTTCCCTATTTTTGGCCTTTTCGCCCTATTTTTTCCCTATTTTATACATTTGCCATATTTTGCCCTATTTTTAACATTTTGTAATATTTAAAATTTTCGGCCATTTTGTAAATAAAATGCGAAAAAACAAAGAAATCTAACTCTTGGACATAAAAATTCCCAAAATTTTCGCCTGCGGCGCTGAAAAAAAAAGAGAAATCTCTTCTACTGGTCTTATTAATTTCTCAAAATTTTCGCATTCGGCGCTATAAAGGAAGAAATCTGGCTTCTTAACCTCGCAAAATTGTCAAAATTTTGCTAAAAATGGAAGAAATCTATTGATTCCAAAAATCTTGATGAAAAACTTGATTATCGATATCGAGAGAGACATCTCTCGCAATAGTCGTACGATAAAAATTTAAGTTGTTCGAGATATCTCGTACGATTCTGTACGACATTCCCAGTCTGGTCTCTAACCCGAACTTTTCTGTTTTTTAAAAATTTAGTTAAAACTAGTGGAGAACATGCGGAATAAGGCTTTTTATTTGAAATTTCAATAAATTTTAAGCTTTTGAAATATTGCCCTATTTTTTGCCATATTTTTTACCAATTTCGCCCTATTTTTTCCCCATTTTTGAGTGGCTGCGCCCCATTTTAGTGGTTTGGAAACGACAACCCTGTTCCCGACATAAAAATTAAATTCCTGAATTCTGGCATTCCCGAGAAAATTGTCACTCTTAGGAAACGGGACGGAAAGTTACCCTACAAGGAAACATCGTATATTTTAAGTGCGAATTTGATATATTTTCTGATGCCATTCAAAAGAGGACCATCGGCTTCCTATTGTGAAAGTGATGACAGTTTTCTTGCAAAATGACTTTGATCAGTCATGGCCCATCCTAAAGCCCTAAATCTTTCAAAATATCAAAAATTACCTCTTCAACAGGATTTTTAGGGTTGAAAGAAAATGCAGTAGATGACGCAGTCATAATCACAAAACGCAAAGGATTTGAACCTTCAGCAATTAGAGAAACGCCTCTGTAAAGAAGAGGTCCCAATTTTGAATTACCAACGCCAGTAATTAAAGGAGCGTTGACCAATTGAGTGTTTGGGACGATTATTGTAGTGTGGTTGCCATTATCCTAGAATGAAAAGTTAAAAAAATTTGGAAGGGGAAAAACAAACCAAATTTGCATCATAACTAAAATGGTCAATAACAGAAGTTTTGTCGTCATCAAATTCAAAGCCAACTTCTGCTGCAAGATCTTTAATAGCATCGCCCATGTTGTAACCTCCAGTGAAGAAAACATTTCCGCCTTTGTCGATAAAGTTTGAAATTTCAGAAACGCTTATGGCCCCTCCAAATTCTTTAAAAAGAAATTTGTTAATAGAGTATTCAGGTTGATGAGCATTTTTCCTAATCGTAAAAAACCGCAACTATAGGTCTCGATATTGTGTTAGATAAAGTAAAGAGGCCGAATCCATACCAGAAAATACTAAAAGAAGATGGGGCTTGATCCTGTAAAATCTTCGATGCAAAGCTCAGCCAACAACGATAAATCGTTCATTTTTGCTTTATTTACTATAGGGATAAGGACATATCTCTTTAGCCATATTTTGAAGAATCATCTAATTTTTTTTAGGAAAAGAGTGAGGACTTAGGTTTATTGAAATAAAAAAATAGATTTTACAGAAAAAACCGGAAATAGATGCTCCAGAAATGGTTCCAGATGACTAAAACCATAAATAAAAAGTGGTTTTTTTATTCTTTTTTGGTTCAAAAAAGAATTTTCTCTATGTGGTTAAAGAATAATTAAAAATGGAAAGAGAAAATAGGTAAAAAATAAAAATAATTAAGCAAACTAACCATCAACAGAAGGAGCAAGTATAATCAAATGTTCAAACAACAATTCTCCAAATTTAATCAAAGCCAAATCGGAGCTATCTGCCTGACTTGTTTTAATTGTATGTCCTCTTCCTTCGATTGATTTGATGAACTCAGAATGAGTTTTAACAATTTCCGAATTGTCTACCAGCAAAAGAATTCTGTCCGCAATTGTGGAACTCAATAGAAGAAAGAATATTAAAGTTTTGAACATTTTTTTTCTGAAAAATAGGTAGAACTGTAAACATTTTAAAAGTAAAATAAATGAAAAAATTTGTCACATAAAGGTTAAATTCCCCTCCCCCCTACCCCGAAATGGGGAAAAGGAAAAAAATTGGGGAAGGGCTGGGTCCCCCGAAAAAAATCCTGGCTACGGGCCTGATAAGAAGAAAGTGAACCGATTAAAAATAGTTATGGACACATACTAGTGTTTCACCAGAACCGCAAATCTGGCCGGAACTGGAACTGAAATTTTGACCGAAACAGGAACTTTACAAGCAAACCGTAACAGGATCCGAAAAATCCCGGAACTTCCGGACTACCGGAACCGAAAGTTCCGGCGAAATACTAACACACACGCAACTTTGGCCCAAGTTTTAGCAAAAGCGTACGGCATGGATTTTCTTAGTTTTCCTGTCCCTTTAAAGGGAATTCACAAAAGTACCCAAAACTCCACGTCACTAAAAAATAGCGAAAAAATAAATAATCTCAAAAACCCTAAAAAATATCAAAGGGATTTGGTTAAGTAATCAAAATGGCATTAAATAGATTGGACATTTTGAAAATGGACATATTAAACGAAAACATGGGACGAAAAGACAATTAGCCACAAACTAAAGGTAATCCTGAAAAGTTTTCATTGCATTAAAAATAATTTCAGTCAAAAAGGTTCGAACCTTCCTCAATCTTCCCCCAGAAACCAAACATTATCCCAATGGACCAAGAAATTTTCTTTTGAGCGGGGAAGATGACCAAGTTCCAGTGACGAAATGTAATTTGGGCAAACGTATTTTCGACTTTTCGAAACGAAAGCGCGCCCAAAAAATTTTAAATTCTGTTTAAAAGTTCTATAAAAGGGCACTTTCCCATCCAAAAGGTTCATTTTAAATTAGTTTGTCGAGTTAGGAATTGATGGAGATGGCGTATATTTAATTTGTTTTTTCGTTTTTAGAGTACTTTTTTTAAGTATAAATTTTTTCTATTTAATAAACGAAGGGAATCAATAATGCGTGAAATCGTTCACATTCAAGCTGGACAGTGCGGAAACCAGATTGGTTCCAAGGTTTTGATTCAAGCTTTATAGAACTTCCTCAATTTTTAAAATTTTTAAGTTCTGGGAGGTCATCTCTGATGAGCATGGAATTCAACCTGACGGCTCTTACCAAGGCGACTCTCCTTTGCAGCTTGAGCGGATGGATGTCTACTACAATGAGGCTTATGGTTTTTTTTATTTTTGGCTTTTGATCACAGTTTTCACTTTTTAGGAGGAAAGTATGTCCCGCGCGCTATTCTTGTTGACTTGGAGCCGGGGACAATGGACGCTATCAAGGCTGGACCATATGGACGTCTCTTCCGTCCTGACAACTTTGTCTTTGGCCAGAGCGGTGCAGGCAACAATTGGGCCAAAGGACATTACACTGAGGGAGCTGAGTTGGTCGACAATGTTTTGGATGTTGTTCGCAAAGAGGCTGAGGGTTGTGATTGTCTTCAAGGTTTTCAATTGACTCACTCGCTTGGTGGTGGAACTGGCTCTGGAATGGGAACTTTGCTTATTTCAAAGATTCGTGAGGAGTATCCGGACCGCATTATGTCTTCCTTCTCTGTTGTTCCTTCGCCTAAGGTTCCTTTTTGACTTTCTAAACCTTTCATCGTTCAATCTTTCAGGTCTCTGACACTGTTGTGGAGCCGTATAATGCAACTCTCTCGGTGCATCAACTTGTTGAGAACACTGATGAGACTTATTGTATCGACAACGAGGCTCTGTATGATATTTGCTTCCGCACGCTTAAACTTCCAAACCCAACATATAGCGACTTGAACCATCTTGGTTTGTTTTTGTCGGCTAGACTAATGTAAAGGGTTTTTATTTTAGTTTCTTATACAATGTCGGGAGTTACTACTTGCCTTCGTTTTCCTGGCCAATTGAATGCAGACCTTCGCAAGTTGGCTGTCAATATGGTGCCTTTTCCTCGACTTCACTTTTTCATGCCTGGATTTGCTCCACTCGCAGCCAAAGGTTCTGTTGCTTTCCAAGCTCAAAATGTTGCGGAATTGACCAAGCAAATGTTCGATGCCAAGAATATGATGGCTGCTTGTAATCCGTGCCATGGACGTTATTTGACTGTTGCTGCCATCTTCCGTGGACATATGTCAATGCGTGAAGTGGACGATCAAATGATGTCAGTTCAAAACAAGAATTCGTCTTATTTTGTTGAATGGATTCCAAACAACGTTAAGACTGCGGTTTGTGACATTCCTCCACGCGGTCTCAAGATGTCGGCAACCTTCATTGGCAACTCCACCGCCATTCAGGAACTGTTCAAACGCATCTCTGAGCAATTCACGGGTTAGCGATTTTTTCTTGTTAAAAAACAATTTTCTCGTTTAGCCATGTTCCGTCGCAAAGCCTTCCTTCACTGGTACACTGGCGAGGGTATGGATGAGATGGAATTCACTGAAGCCGAGTCCAACATGAACGACTTGATTTCTGAGTACCAGCAATATCAAGATGCGACAGTCGACGACGAGCTTGAATATGATGCTGAAGTTACCTCTCAAGTTGTTGAACAGGAATAAGAACATATTTATTTTTGACGATAATCTTCGTTTGTTTGACTTTATCATATATTCCTGAAGATATGCTTTAATAAAAAAATTTTTTGTCTTCTTTGATTTGACTGTTGAATTGTTGGATTTTCAATTTATATTTTTTGATTTTTCTATGCTTTTAACGATTTTTCTTCCCTTTTAGTATTTACTAACTTATCAAGCTTTCGTCAAATTAAAATGGTTATGCAACGTCGTGGACCGCCTCGTGGAATTAACAAATCTGATCAGAATCAATCGTTTAATGGTAGTCAAGGCCGTGGATTTAATGGACGTGGTCGTGGAGGAGGTCGAGGGGATTCAAATGGACAGGGCAGGGGAGGATCTCGTCCTCAGGTTGAGACTGCTGTTAGTCATTTTAACTACAGGTTATTTTATCTTTTTAAGTCATTAAAGTATTGGGACTGAGTTTCAATGATTGGGTACTTTAATTGTTGTTGGTATAATTTCGGAATACTGAACAGAAAGCAAATGGGTCAAGTTATATGTCATTCGAAAGAGCTCGCCGAGTTGAGTCGAATGGTGAAAAAATTTTTGTGCGGACTCATACGGGGGCTGAGATATAGGCCCCCGAAAATCGAAAAACCATAGGGGGGACCAAGCACTTTTTTGGGGTCAAAAATCCGAATATGCAAATGATAGCTCATTCGAAAGAGCTCCTCGAGCTGAGTCGAATGACACCAAAATCAACGAAATCCGACTTGATTGGACAAAGTTATGCTCTTTTATTTTCGCTCCTTACCTATGTCATCTGTGGAGATTTTTGCTGCTACGGAGGCCCCAAATAAGTCCAGAGCAAGGGAGATAGGAATAGGTTTATGTTACGAGCCCAGACCCATCGCCCGTAGACTCCCCGCGAGGCGCGTGCCGCAAAACCCCGCGCGAAGCGCGGGGTTTTGCACAAGCGCCTCGCCGACGCTCCATAGGTGTAGGTTTTTTTGTCGTAACTTTGTCTAATCTTGTTTAATCACGGTGATTTTGGTATCATTCGACTCAGCTCGTCGAGCCCTTTCGAATGAGGTATAATTTACATATTCGAATTTTTTTGACCCCAAAAATTTCCAAATTTCGGGGGTCTGTAACTCGGCCATATGAAGTCGGATTTCGTTGATTTTGGCGTCATTCGACTCAGCTCGACGAGCTCTTTCAAATGAGGTATAATTTACATATTCGAATTTTTCACCCCCAAAAACAGCTTGGTCCCCCTTATGGTTTTTCGATTTTCGGGGACCTGTATCTCAGCCCCTGTATGAGTCCGCACGAAAATTTTTTCACCGTTCGACTCAACTCGACGAGCTCTTTCGAATGACATATGGTTTGACCCATTTGCGTTCTGTTCAGTATTCCGAAATTTTTCCATTGTTGTTTGTTTTATGGAACTTATGCAGTTTAAGTATACACCCCATTTATTCGCGAAGAAAGTTTATTACAAAATGGTCAGTGAACTCAAAATGGTCGGCTCATCGAGCTGAATCGAATGGCGAATTATCGGTACCTGGGAACATCTATGAGCTGAGTAACAGAGTTCCAAAAAATCTAGAGAAACGGGCAACAAGGACCAATATTTTGATAAAAATCTGATTCTAAAACACGCAAAAAACCCGGAAATACACAAAAAGAGGACCATTAGTTATAAAAATGCAGATCTGGGTACTTTATTGCCATTTAAATAGCTGAAATAGATAAAAATAAGAATATTGATTCAAATGTTAATTTTTATTTTGGTAAAATTGGGAAGAAAAATTAATCTTTTCTTTGTTAATGTCTCTATTTGAGCATGTGTAACAGAGAAATTGAATGAAATCGAGGAAGAAAGACCATTTTGTAATAAACTTTCTTCGCGAATAAATGGGGTGTGTACTTAAACTGCATAAGTTCCGTTTTAATTACTCTACCATTTGCGGTTCTTTATACTAGTCCTGAATTCCCATTGTTTTTTATTTCTGAAAAAATTACCCACATTATTTAATCATTCTTTTCATTTAAGCGGTGGACGTGGTGGTTTGTCTCAAACAATCCAGGTTAAACGTTTGCCTTCTTACGTGCCTCCACAGCCAAAAGGTTTTTATTTTTAACTTATCGACACCTTTCTCAATTAATTTTTCAGTTCCGTCTGAAGCTTTGCCTGAAGTTGGCTTTGATTCGTCTGCGCGAATGGACACCACCGCTCCATGGATTACCAAGACTGACAACATTCCAATAAAATCTCCAGTGGAGAATAAGCCTGTTCCGTTTGGAGGTAATGCTGCTGTGGCTTTTCAAACTCAACCGGATATTGTTCATGAACCGACATCAAAGACCATTGTCGAGTGTTCTGCGTCTGTTATGAGTGGAGGGACGGCTACTTCGGGTATCAACAGTGGAAGTGTTGCTCCGACAAATCTTTGTTTGTTATTTTTTCTTAATTATTGTTACATTTATTTGTTTCCCACGACGGACAAATCTCTTTTATGACCCCGGGTTTAAGGTTTGTGGGTCCTGTGAAATCCCTGAATATTGTTTCCTGACCCGTACTATACTCATTGTCAGAATTGGATACTTCACATTAAAGATATGTTTCTCAAAAGTTGGTTGGCCACTGGGTGATGGCTCCCTAAGCGATTCACCCTATTTAATTCCTCCCTAATGTTGTGCCTACATAAATAGCGTCTTCCGGAAGAAAATAGCATTTATGTAGAATGAGGAAACGTGATTTTGCTGTCCTTCTTTTGAATGTTGTTTTCTTCTGCAAGACGCTTTTTATGTAAGCACAACATCAGTTCCTCCTCTCCTATTTAATTCCTATGTGATTCCCCCCTACCTCATTATATGATGGGATTTTTCTATCCCAACTCCATATCTAAAAGTTGAGTCTACTTTTATTATTTTTCATTTTCAGCCACTTCGCAATGTCAAGGATGTACTCTTCTTCATCAGCGTGTGGCCACTATGCTTCGAACTGCGGCAACCACGTTTATTGAGATGGCGGATGCTTTCCAGGAGATTCAACAGGGGAAGAACAACAACAATTGAATTTAAAATGAAAGAAAAGTAATTTAAAAATTAAAAAAAAATTTTTTTCGAAAAACTCAAAAAATTTAAATCTTCCAATTATTTTATTTTTTCTCTTTAAAAATATGCTCAAAAAATGTTATATTTTCCGGTTTCTGGTTTTAAAAAATTGAATCACAAAAAATTAATTTACTTGAAACTATGGTTGTTGGCGACCGGTTTTAAAACCGGAATTCTTTAAATTTTTTGTCAAAAATTAGCTGTTTTTCGGAAATTTTAAAAACAGGAAATTTGTGAATTTGAGTGATTTTATTTAAAATTCCCCCAAAATTAAACCGGTATTTGCCTAAAACTCAAACCGAAAACCGAGTTTCTAAAATTTTGATTAACCGAAAACCGGGGGTACCGGTTAATAACCGGTCGCCAACAACCCTACTTGAAACGATCTCTCTCTTTGATTTTTGATTGAGAATTCTTATTTATTTTTGCGACAATAAAAAATTTTTTTCTGTTTATTCTTGTGTATATTTTAAAAAAAATCACAAATTTTGTCCCTCGTTGTTGGAACATTATTTTTTGGTTCAACACCTCTCGTAATAGTAACAGATTAAATATGCTGTTATTTTTCCACAGTTTGGTATTTCTCTTGTATTATGTCGATACCAGTCTCCGTCTGCTTTACTGTTAATTTTTGCCTTTCATGCCGAATATCGTAAATAGTATTTTTTAGTTTTTAAAGAAGTTTCTTTTATTTTTTATTAATTTTTAAGATGCTCTTTCGCAAAACTAAACTTACCAATTTTATTAATTCTACAAGATTTTTTACTCAACCAATTCAACAATTAATTTATCGAGAACATGGGAATCCTACAGAAGTATTTTTTTATTTTTTTTTTAAAATTTATTTTGAAGGTTTTGACTTTATCCAATAAAGAATTGGAATTTGACAAACTCGAAAAACAACAAGTTTTGGTTAAATGGTTAGCTGCACCTATAAATCCTGCTGATATTAATCAAGTACAAGGAGGTTGGAATTTTTTTAATTAGTAGAAAAATGGATGGGAGGTTTTTGATTGGAGCTGCACGCAATTGCGGATTGCATTTGCGGATTTTTTTTAAATTGCGAGTTGCGGAATCTTTTTCAATTGCGTGCAGCCCTGTATTCGATCGGAACTGATAAAAATTAAATTTTGTTTTCCGAAACGAAAGGGGAAAGGGCGAAGCAAACTTTCGTTCAGCTTTTTTCTCTAGCTGAATCCACCAATGAGTTATTCTCTCAGGGGATCAATCCTTATTTGATTCTGATTTTGTTATTCAGTCATTAAGGGATTATTCCAAATTTTTGTGGTTGTTTTGAACATTTATTTTAGTTTATCCAATTAAGCCAAATCTTCCTGCAGTTGGAGGAAATGAAGGATGCGCTCAAGTTATCAGGGTTATAATTTTAAAACTTTAAAAATCTAAAATTTTAAAATGATTTTTTTCGGCCTTGTTTTGGGGTAAAATTGTATTTCCCCTCTTCCCAAGAGGGGAAATACAGTGGGGCTTCTGTGGCTAAAGCCCCTCTCGAAATGGGGAAAACGGAAAAATTTTAGAAGGGGATTGATTACATGGTACATGATAAATTCTACATGGGTCTAGGGCCATCTTCTAATTTTGTTTAGTTTTTGTTATTAAAATATGAGGTTCCTGAATGTTTTTTATTGAGTATATTAAATTTAATCATAAGCAAATTAATTTTCCATAACGAACATAAAATAAGGAAATTTTTGGCTAGGGGAAGGAGAGGGAAAGGGTACTTTTCGGTTCTGCCACACCCCTCCCATATATTCGCAGGTTACCTTTTATATTTTTCCTTCATATGTAACTTTCTCCTCTATTCAATTCCTTCAATTTTCCCTGTGGCATGTTCAATGAGTGGCATTAATAAAGAAAAGATTATAATTTACTCAGTTTTTCCTTGAAACAACTTACCCTAGAAAGGAGAAAGTCTGACCATTCTGTATGCATAAAGGAAAAATATAAAATATAACCTGCGAATATATGGGAGGGGTGTGGCAGAACCGAAAAGTACCGAGGGAAAGTCAACAATTACCAAAAAAATTTTTTAATTTTTTTAATTTAAGGTGGGAAGCGACGTCGCTGAGTTCAAAGAAAATGACCTCATAGTCCCAGCAATTTCTGGTATTGGAACTTGGTGTTCTCACGGAATTTATGATTCTAAAGAACTTTTTTTGGTTGAGGGAGATGTTAAGGATTTTATATTTTTGTCAATGTTACAGGTTTTTTGGAATTTTTTAATAAATTTTTTTAAAAGATTTTGTGTTAAGGTAAATCCTTCAACTGCTTATAGAATGCTTAAAGATTTTGTGAATTTATCTTATGGCGATATAGTTGTTCAAAATGGGGCGAATTCTTCTGTTGGGCATTTTGTAATTCAGGTTTTTAATTTTTGATAGTTTAAGGGGCCAAAAATTTTTTTATAATTTTGAGGGTTGCAGAGGAAGGTTTTGAATATTTCGTTATTATTAGATATGTAGTCCCCCAAAACTATTTTTAAATTATGAAAGGTGCTTTCCTCAATCTAGGGAAGCCCTAAACCATCAACCGTGTCACAAAATAATCTAGAATAGGAACCGCCCTTTTTTAAACTGGGACAACGTCGGAATAGTAAACTAAGCCAGAGCTATATGAAAAATTTCTTTTTTAGTCTGAAGGAAAATAGGAAAAGGGTCTCCTTTTTCTTTTCTCTCCTCTTCCTAAAGCAGTTTCGAAACTAAATTTTTGTGAGCTTTGATTCTAATAATAATTTAAAATTCAGATTTGTCGTATATTGGGAGTAAACACTATAAATGTTGTTAGAGACCGGCCACAAATTGAAATATTAAAAAATCAACTGAAAAAATCTGGAGCAGATGAAGTGTACACAGAAGAAGAGGTTCAAAATTTTTAAAATTCTTTCTTATTTTAGAATTTTTAGTTTTCAACTTTAATTCGTTCCAAAAAACTCAGAGCAAAATTGGCTTTAAATTGTGTTGGAGGAAAGAGTGGAATGATTTTGAGCCGTGCTCTCGAGCTTGGAGGTACTATGGTGACGTATGGAGGAATGTCTCAAAATCCAGTGAATGTTACAACCTCTTCCTTAATTTTTTCAAATATAAAGTCTGTTGGGTTTTGGATGTCTAGATGGTATGGAATGAGGCAAAATATTGAGGTTATTTAGTTATTGAAATTAACGTGAGAGGTTTTCGCTGCTATCTGGGGCAAGGGGATTTTTTAGGAGATGATTGGAAGTCCAGTTTCTGAGTTTTTTCCGCATCTTTCAGCAGCTTTTTCAGCATAACTAAAAAAATCTTTAACCTGGAAGGGTTTACATTAATGCTGGGCTCGGGCGGGGTCCTTTCCTTGAATGCCTGGTTTAAAAAAATGTCTTAAACCTGGAAGGGTCTACATTACTGTGGAGCTCGGACGGGATCAGGGGTGAGCGCATTGCGTTTTGCGTTTTGCGTTATTTGCGTTAAATTTTGGCCTTGCGTTGCGTTTTGCGTTTTGCGTTTTTTTCGATGAAATTAACGCAAAAATACGCAAAAAATATACCCAATCTGAGGACAAAATTGGAGAAATCTAGCTTCTTATCTTTCCAAATTTCTCAAAATTTTCGCCTGCGGCGCAGAAAAAGGAAGAAATCTGGCTACTTAGCCTTCCAAAATTTTTAAAATTTTTGCCTGCGGCGCTAAAATAAAGAAGTATAATGAGTGGTTAATTGAAAGATCAGTTGTCTAGCATCATTTTAATTTAGTAAACCTGCACCAATTTTATTTATATCCTCTTAATCCTCTTATATCTCTTCAACCCCTGATACCTACTTTATGCCAAAATCCCTGTTATTTTTTTAATCTGAGGGCAAAAATTGGAAGAAATCTAGCTTCTGGATTTCCAAATTTCTCAAAATTTTTGCCTGCGGCGCCAAAAATAGGGGATTAATTACCATGTTTCCATCATGGAGCAGCTCAAAAAATATCTGTTCAGTATCCGGAACTCAGATCTCACGTTTTCTCCAAATCCCCTGATTCCCCGGCATCAATTCATAACTACAGTAGCCCCTTATCCTTCGATATATCCCCAACTTAACCGACATCCTTCGGTAATCACATGGATTTTTTCAAATATATTGATCCCTCCAAAATACATCCGTACTAACCAGCTACTTTGTTAAACCCCTTGATCCCTGTAAATCGTCTGATATCCTTCATAATCCCTTATACCCCCTATATTACTCCAAATCATTACCCATTCAACTTACATGTATCATAAAATCGAGTAGGACTCCCCAACTTATAGTAATACTTCGATTTTTAACTGAAAATATGGCTAATACTTGATAAAAAAATTTTTTCCCAATTTTTCGTTCTTGCGTTTTGCGTTTTGCGTTATTTGCGTTAAATTTTGGCCTTGCGTTGCGTTTTGCGTTTTTTGAGATTGGCTCTTGCGCTCATCCCTGGACGGGATCCTTTTCTTGTTTTAAGTGACAATCGGGATTACTGGGACCCGCTCCATTCAATCTTCCGAAAAATTCCCTTTCAGGATCACGGATTTGCGACTTTTCTACACTCTGGTCTAATAGAATAGGCGAAACCGAATTAAAATCCTGATTAAAATAATCTATAGTTAAAGAATAATATTAGGAAGGGATTATTCGTTTTCTTAAAAGAATTTTACTAATTTAGGAAAGGAAGAATATGTATAAAGAATTAATTGGTTGGTATAAAAATGGAGAATTGACACTTCCAAAATATCAAAGGAAAAATTTGGAGGAATATAAGGATGCAATAAATCAATCAACTCAATCAGACTCGTCGTCGATTAAGTCAAAACAAATTTTTACAAAGAAAGGGAATGACCATTATTTTGATTAATTTTGAGGTTCTTTTCTGAAAATTATATTTTTTGAGAATTATGTTACTAAAACGGGCGTACAAAAGTAATACATTTTGACAAGCAAGCCCCACCGGTCCCATTAGGTTGGCGCACTGATGGGTGCTTTGTTAGATTATTTTCAATGCTTATGTTCTTAACGCAAGTTTCTCCATTTCCAACCCAAACATAACCCAATTATTATTGAAGGAAATATGCACAACATTTTTCTCCTTAATTAATTGTGACAGGCTATTGGGAAAATAAATGTTGAGTTTTATAACTTTACAATCTTCTTGAAAAGATTAACTATTCTCTACCCCGAAAGTTCCCATTATTTTATTTTGTATGCCCTTTTTTTCACTTTATTTGTTTTCCGAAAGAGACTTTAAAGATTTTTATTATTTTTAAAAATAATTTATTTTTGTAAAATTACAAGAGAAAATAGTTTTACAGCAAAAATAAAATTAAACAAATTATTCAAGTCCCATGTATGTGTTAATAAAATGAACAATCATTACAATAATAGGCTGCCAAGCGACCTAATATTAAAAAATATTTTTAATAAAAATTTGATAGAAAACTAACCAAATAGCGTACCCAATCAAGCAATTGTCCATAAAATAAATGAGGTTTTTCCCATCTAAAAAAGGAATGGAAAGATTTAATTATATGTAAAAATGATTTAAGAAATTTTAAAAATAGGAGGATAACTTAAGGGTTCACAAAGCTGTCTAGGTTCACAAAGCGAAGTGAGAAGATGTCTTAAGTAACAAGTCCAGAAACGGTGTCATTACGTTGATCCGAAATTCTAGGACCCGGTTTTAATGCATATATTTGCATATTTCGCCCCCTCCCCTCGTATATATTTCAGGAAATTTTGCATATTCTTGTAGATGTTTTTCCGAGATGTTCCGTTTATTTTGTGAGAACCTAAGGACAAGCCCAAGTGTCTGAAAAATCCCTTGAGGCATTTCCTCATAAAAATCTTCCTTAAATTTTTTCTAATTTGAAAAAGGCTCCTCTCCCGTTAAAGAAACCATGAAACCTATACCTCTATTTTTCAATCTAAATGAACGACAAAAAAATTAATTTTTTAATATTAAAATTCTTACGGATTTTTGAACATTCTCTTCAAATCAACTTTTTCTTTGCAATAAGGACATGTTTGTAATTTTCCTACCACACACCAACCTCTAATACAAAATTCATGGAATACATGATTACAGGAAAGTGTATAGATCTAGAGAAATTTAGAAAGAAAATTAATCAAAGTTTTCGAAAAAGTGCTTTTTGGTGTAGTGGAAAAAGGTTGAGGGTCAAAACGAGAAACAGACAAAACGCGATCTACCAAAAGTCCGTATTTTTGGTAGACAACGTTTTGTCTGTTCCGCGTTTTGCCCCTCAACAACCTTTCTCCACTACATCAAAAAGTACACTTACTCCATAACTTTAATTAATTTTAGACAAAAATAAATACGAAACAAAAATACGAAATATTTTTAAAAACAGAAATTCTCGAATTTTTTTAAAATTCTGATTTTAGAAATGTTCCGTGTTTTGGGAGGGTGCTACAAAATTTCTATCAATAAATATTGATAAAAAAATTAAATAGAAATACCCAAAATTATTAAATCTTTTTCCAAAATATTTTTTCCTATTTTTTATTTTAATAAGAGAAACCTTTTCTTCTTCAACTTCCATAGCTTCAGAAAGCACCGTTGGAGTATGTCCATTTTGTAAATTTAAATGACTTCCATTTTCTGATAAAGAATGTAAAGGATTACCACAAACAGCACAAACACCATTTTCTAATACTCTTTTGGGTAAACCATCATGAGTAAAATACTTTAAAAAGAATTTTTTTAAATAAAAAATACAGCGAGTAATGAAGGAAGAAGAAAAATATTTTGGGAGGAGAAAAGACTAAAAATAAAAATTTTTTCAACTGTGACGCTGAAAAACGAATGAATCCGTTCATTGACTTTCTGGGACAAAATGTCTCGTTTTTTAAATTTTTTCTAAGAAAAAAGCCACATTGGTTCTAGTCTAGTTTATGAGCCAAAAGAAATTTTTGGACTTATAAATGCTCAATGGACTCCTAATAGATAAGGGCGGGGCTTATGGGAGGGAAACTACACAATCACTAAATTTTCTTAGCTTCCCTTAAATTTCCCTCAAAAAAGAGTCCAAAAGAAATTTTTGGATTTATAAATTTTCACTGGACTCATAAATAATAAAAGGAAGACGGAAAAAAGGGGCGGGGCTTATGGGAGGGAAACTACACAACTTCTAGATTTTCTTAGCCTCCCTTAAAATTTCCCAAATAAAATTTCAAAAAATACCCCAATTTTGCAGGCAAGTCTGTCAGTCAAAATATGTGCCAAATCTCTACTTAACACACCATAATAAAGTCCATAAAACAAAAAATGAATTCCAAAATCCAAAGAAGTATTTGGTCTAATTCCAAAAATTAAATTTATTCCAATTAAAGTAAAAAGTAAAGCAAAATAGCCAATAATTCCAAAAATATAGCTCATTTTGTGAAGAAAAAGAAAATATTTGTAGACTAGTCTAAAATTGGGAAAAAATTTTTGGAAAAAGAATTTAAATTGGAGGGAAGATTTGTTTTATTTTTAGAAAATATTAAAAGAAAATTTGTGAAATTCAAGAAAAAAATCTTTTTAAGAGTTGATTTTCTAATTTATTATTTAAGTGTAAGTATATAAAAATGAATAAAAAATATTTATTCGAAAAATTCAAGAAGCTTTCATTTAATTGGATGGAATAATGATTGGGTTTCGTGTCGGAAATAGGTTGGATTTCAGATATTGGGTAACCCAGCCCATCCCGAATGATCCACCCCATTTTTTGAGTAAACACCTCATCTTTGATAAGAAAATTATTCTAAAAATAACTCTTCTAATTTTTCATTCATATCAAGGATGTGCTGGTTTAGTCAAAAAATGGGCAGGATTACTTGGGATGGTTTGAGCTACCCGATATCTGAAATCCAAACTTTTTCCGATCCAAAAACCACAATCGGAAGAAAAAAATTTGGAACTCCAACCCAAACCCAGACATTTTTCCCAACCCGTCTCATCCCTATTTTCAAAAAAAAACCAACAAACCTTGGAGTACTTCCCATAATAACAGTTTGATTAACTCTCCACCAAATATACCAACTTGCAGAAGTAAACAAAACCCAACTTAACAAAAATCGCCACCAAAATTTTTGTATACAAATAATTAGTGGAATTAGCCATAAACCGAGAAGGGTTGCAATCTGTGAGAAGAAAAAAATTTTTT